TGCAGATAAACTAGTTCATGAAGTCTTCTGTCGTTTTGGAGTACCTTTAGAGATTCACAGCGATCAAGGAAGGAATTTTGAGTCTCAAATATTCCAGGAAACTTGCCGAGTTATGGGTACTCAGAAAACACGAACAACTTCTTACCACCCACAATCTGATGGAATGGTAGAAAGATTTAATCAGACATTGGAGAGGTACCTAGCAAAAGTTGTGGAAAAACGGCAACGAGACTGGGACAGGCACATACAACCGTTTTTGTTGTCATATCGAAGCGCTGTTCACGAAAGTACATCAGTGACACCAGCTTTCGCAAACTTTGGGAGAGAATTGCGGCTGCCTGCAGACCTGATCACCGGAATACCACCTGATGCCCCACGCAGTATAACCGATTATGCAAATGACTTGCGGAACAAAATGAATGACATTTATGAGCACGTCAGACAGACGGGCCAGCAAACGTCTGAGAAGATGAAAACACGGTATGACCGCAAAATGAACAACAAGGGCTTTGATGAAGGTTCACTAGTGTGGTTACACAATCCAGTTCGCAGCAAAGGGAAATCTCCTAAGCTTCAAGCTAAATGGGACGGACCGTACCGGATTGTGACAAGGATCAATGATGTAACCTACCGGATACAGAAAGGTGCCAGAGGTACTCCTAAGATTGTCCATGTGGATCGACTGGCGCGTTATTATGGGGCCAATAATGCTCGGGACGAGCATGTCTTAGGAGGGGGCAGTGTTACGCGCCACTATTAATGTCTTGTACATGGCAACACTAGTTACACTAGCGCCCCCTAGTGTCGAGTAAATGAAAGTATTGCGCGCCACTATTAATGTCTTGTACATGGCAACACTAGTCACACTAGCGCCCTCTAGTGTCGAGTAGCAGAACTAGGAGAGTCGAGATCCTTCCAGAAATTTCGGGACCGATATGTACTCGAACATTCTAAATGTCGCTACAGTAGAAGGTTCTGGAAACTATCTGAGGCCCTATATAAGGCCGGTATAGACCACGACCGGGGCAGTATTGAATTGGCGATACAAGAGAATACTTCGAAGCGAAATAACGGCGAACTGTGTTTTATTATTAGTGTGATTTTTGATTGTAATTAGTGTTGTGTAATTAAAGTGTCAATTTTGGTAATTCAGTCGGCAGTTTTTAATTGTCTCGAACCCGAAGCTCGTAACAATATCTTTGTTTTGTCCATGTTCATCTTAAGACCTATCCGTTGGGAAACACTATTGAGATCATTGAGCATAGTGCTTAGGTCCTCCAGCGATTCTGCCATAAGGACTATATCGTCGGCAAATCGAAGGTGAGTGATGTACTCGCCATTGATGTTGATACCGTATCCTTTCCAGTCCAGAAGCTTGAAAACGTCTTTCAATGCAGCGGTGAAGAGTTTTGGGGATATGACGTCACCCTGTCTTACACCTCTCTGCAATTGGATAGGTTTCGTACTCTGGTTCTGTACTCGGATAGCCATCGTAGCCCTACTGTACAAGCACTTCAACACTTCGATATACCGACAGTCAACTTGGCACCGCTGAAGGGACTGCAGCACCGCCCAAATTTCGACGGAATCAAAGGCTTTCTCATAGTCCACATACGCCAGACATAGTGGCAAATTGTACTCTTCGGACTTCTGTACAATTTGCCGAAGGGTATGTATGTGGTCTATGGTGCTAAAGCCCTTTCGGAAACCGGCTTGTTCGGGAGGCTGGAAGTCGTCAAGTCTGCGCGCGAGACGATTCGTAATGACTCTCAAAAACAGCACGTAGACGCGGCTCAGAAGGGAAATCTGTCTGTAGTTCTTCAAGAGAGCGTTGTCATCTTTCTTGAAGAACAAGACCACCGCACTTCTGCTCCACGCCTCCGGTGTAATGCCACCATGGAGGACGGAATTAAAGAGCTTCTGAAGGACTTCAAGTACCGGTTTTCCACCCGCTTTCAGAAGCTCCGCTGTAATTCCATCCTCGCCTGGGGCCTTACCGTTTTTAAGGTGCTGGAGAGCCATTCTAATCTCGCTCAGACTGACGTCCGGGATATCTTCGGAATAGTGTCGGATGAGACTTGCTCTTGGATCGTTACTCACACTTGCGTGTGGCTCCAACGATGACGTGTACAGCTGCCCATAGAACCTTTCAATCTCACTCAAAATCTCAGGTGTCCCGGAAACGATGCTGCCACATTCTGTCTTCAGCTTTGACAGTTGGCTCTTTCTGGCAGACAGATCTCTGGCAAAGACTTTGGAGCCTTGGTTCCGCTCGATCGCTTCTTCAATACGAGCTGTATTGAAGTTGCGTAAGTCCCGCCGCATGCATTTGGAGACCTGTCTGTTCAGATGCCTGTATGCTGTGAAGTCTGTTGAAGAATGTAGCTTCATCTCCCGTCTAACAGCCATGAGATTAAGAGTGTGATCGGAGAGTTTTTGTGTTCTTCTGCGGCGGGTCTTGCAGAAGTTAGCTCCGACCGCATGGACAGTTTCCACGAGCTTGTCATTCATATGGTCCACTTCATTGCAGTCTTCTAGGCACTGAAAACGGTTTTGTAACTCGAGCTGAAAGGTTTCGGGACTTTGGAACAGAGCACGAGGGGAACGGAGCGTTGACTTCATTAGACGAGACCTCTACAACTTAACGTTTAGGTTCAGTGTGCCTCTAACCATTCGGTGATCGCTACCAGTTTTCACCCTCGGGATCACTGAGACATCACTGAACAGTTGTCGTCTGGTCGTCATAATAAAGTCAATCTCATTTTTTGTCGAACCGTCGGGGCTCGACCAGGTCCACTTCCTGTGGGGCCGCTTCTGGAAGAAAGAGTTCATCATAAAGAGTCCCTCTTTCTCCATGAAGTCGGCCAGCTGCTGGCCCCTTGGGTTCCGTTGCCCTATTCCAAATTTCCCTACTTTCAGCTCACCGTTCTCTCTTGTGCCTAGTTTTGCATTGAAGTCTCCCATTAACACCGTATAGTGGGTTTTGGAGGAAGGCATGGCTCTAGAGATATCCTCATACATTTCCTCCACCTCCTCATCGGGGTGTGCCGAGGTTGGTGCGTAAACCTGTATGACCTTCAGCGAATACCGTTTGGTGATTCTGAGTATAAGGTACGCAACCCTCGTCGACACACTCCCGATCTTTACAACATTGTTAACGAGAGACTTGTGGACGATAAATCCGACACCTCATTGGGACAGATGGTCGCCCTCCCGGTGATAGAGCAAGTTGCCGGATTCGAGGATTACCGTGTCCTCCCCCTCTCTTCGGACTTCGGATAATCCTATAATATGCCAGCGCAACTTGTCTATCTCTTCTTCCAGCTCCACGATCTTCTCGTCAGTCCTCAGGGTGCGTGCGTTGTACGTTGCCAGGTCGAGTCGTCTAAGGTGGCAACCGAACCTCCACCGGAGATTCTTAGCACCCCCTGCCCCGCCGTTACCATGGTCGCCACCGTAGCCAGGAATAGCGGGGCCGCCGGGGACTGGGGGCCGTCTCTTCGTAACTTTCATCATGGGGGGTATTAGCCATAGTTTCCACGCTTGGCGAGCGGGTTGGCAACCGCAGTTTTTTTATTGTAATTTTGGCTATTATCAGGAAGATGCTGCTGCCCATCTCCTGCCTGTTTCCCTTTGTCGCCTTTTACGACACCCACGGGAGGCTATGGGGTAGTGGATATTCTTGACCGCCACTACACGGCATTAGTCGCTAGCCATTCAGCAATTTCTACGGCTACAGTAGAACGCTCAACATTCAATAATTTCTTGAGCTCCTTTGCGGCACCCCACGAAGTTCGTGCCATTATCGCTCCATAAATCGGCACAGTGACCTCTTCTTGCAACAAAACGTTTAAAAGCTGCTAAAAATCCTTCAGCGGATAAGTCACTAACAGCCTCAAGGTGAATAGCTCTTGTTGCCATGCATACAAATAGACAGATATAGCCTTTGGACGCATGATGACCTCTCTCTTTTGAAACCCTTATCGATACGGGGCCAGCATAATCCACTCCACTCTGGAAAAATGGCTTACTGGGTGTAACTCTTCTTTTCGGCAGATTACCCATAAAGGGTTGATTAGATCTTACTGAGTGACGTAAACAAGTAATACAGTTTCGAATGTAGGCTTTTACTAATGTCTTTATATTAACGATCCAATATTTTGTCCGAATGTAATTTATCATGAGCAATGGGCCACCATGTATTGTTTTTGCATGAGCTTCTGTTATAATCAATTGGGCTAAATGGGACTCTCGAGGTACAAGAATCGGGTGTTTCATATCTTGAGTTAATTTGGCCTTATGTAAACGCCCGCCAACTCGCAGGATGCCTTGTTCATCTTTAAAGGAACACAAAGAAGCTAGCCCGCCTTTCTCGCTCACTCTACCTCTTTTTTTCAAATTTTCAAATTCGACTGCAAAATATTGCATTTGACATATTTTAATGCAGTCATGTAAAGAAGACTGCAACTCCCTACTGGTTAGCCATTTCGAAAATTTCGGTTTTGGTTTCGTTTTTAAAAGTTGAATGAATCTTTTGCAATAAGAAATTACTCTAAGAAGCCTATGTAGAGATGAAAACCGTAAAATTAAACCTTCATTCGCAGTGTTTAATTCCGTAAAGTGACATGGCAAGTTAACGAACTTAGATCGTTCTTCTATTTTTACTTCCGGAACTTCTTGGTTATGGTCAAATTGTGGACTGTATTCGATAGCTACATCAGATAACCAAGATGGACCTTCTTTCCATAACTTGAGATTAAGAATCTCTGACGGCTTTAAACCACGAGAAGCGCAGTCCGCTGGATTATCTTTCGACCGTACATGGGACCACTGGCTTCTATCCAAGATTGATAAAATCTCCGATGTCCTGTTTGCAACGAAGGTCTGCCATCGACTTGGATGGCTGCTTAACCAGGCAAGCACCACTGACGAGTCGGTCCAGACATGTATCTTATGTTTTGGTATTTTTAACGTCTCCGCAACATCTACAATTAAATGTGTTAACAATTCTGCTCCACACAATTCAAGGGAATTGATCTTTGAATAATAGGTGCCACCTTTGTCTTAGAAGTGATTAAGCTAGTGTATATTTCTCCCGTATTGTTAATAACTCTTAAATAGACCACCGCTGCATAAGCATGACAGGAGGCGTCGCTGAAGCCATGAAGTTCAACCCTTTCATTGTTGTCTCTTGTGTAAATCCATCGTGGAATAGTGAAACCAGAAAGATCAATTAAGCTGCCACGATATGCTATCCATTCTTGTAATAGTTTATCTGGCAGTTCCTGGTCCCATTCGATGCCCGACATCCAAAGTTTCTGAATAATAACTTTAGCACTAATTATTACAGGCGATATCCAGCCAAGCGGATCAAATAAGCGAGCAATATCTGCCACTACTTTCCTTTTGGTCAAAGGGGTGCTCACAGCAGGAAGTTTAACCAAATACTCAAAATTATCTAATTCGCTATTCCAATTTAGACCAAGAACTTTTGTCACTTCCTTTACTTCCTTTTCCACTCCTATGTCAACCCTTTTTTTCTGATTTTTGTTCCCTTTATTTTCTCCTATCTTTTCCAACAGTTCTTGACTGCTGCTTCCCCATTTTTGAAGCTGAAAGCCTCCCATTCTCATCAAGTCTTTCATCTCTTTATATACTACTATTCCTTCTTCGATCGACTGACAACCTGTCATGAGATCGTCCATATAAAAATCCTGGGTAACTCTATCCCCGACTGATTTAAAATTCTTTCCCTCATCAACAGATAACTGTTGTAATACCTTTACAGCTAGGTAGGGAGCAGAATTGGTGCCAACTGTAACCCTCAATAATCTATAATATTGCATGTTACCAGATTGATCTCGCCAGACAATACGTTGAGTTGCAATGTTCCTTTGTCACCTTTATCTGACGGTACATTTTAACCAGATCAGCAACTAAAATTATCGGATGTTGTCGCCAACGCAACACTATATGCCGCAAATCAGGTTGTAATACGGGCCCTACTAAAATATCGTTATTTAGTGATACCCCATTACTCCCTTTGCAGGACGCATCGAAAACAATGTGTATTTTACTAGTAGTTCTATCTTCTTTCACCACAGCGTGATGAGGTAGATAAACTATATGAACATCCTCTTTTTCCTTTTCAGGGACTAACTCCATGTGGCCTAGATCAAGATATTCCTGCAACACTGCAGAATATTGTATCTTTAACTCGGTATTCTTCTCTAACTTTTTTTCTAACAACTGTAATCTTCTAGTAGCTATCTTTCTCGAATTTCCGTACTTGCTTCGAGGATCTTCGTCTCTAAAAGGTAAATTAACCAAATAACGTCCAGAGTCATCCCTAGAGGTTGTATGAGAAAAGATCTCTTCACACTTTTGTTGCTCTGGAGTTAATATTTTACTCTTCTTGTAGGAGAAATCGTCAGACTCAATCTCCCAAAATCTTCTTAAAACCTCATTTTCATCTACATAGGAATGCATACTGACATCCTATTACTGGAGTCACACTCCAATCCAGTGTGAGAGCTTGAGTGAATTTGTCCTGAAAGAATCCATCCAAATTTAGTGTTTTGAGCCACTGGTGATCCTGGAGGACCCTTTATTAGACCGTCTTCTAGTATTTGTCCGTATACTTCTGCTCCTAGTAATAGATCTACCTTATTAGGTATATAAAATTTAGGATCAGCTAATCGCAATTCAGATAGCTCCGACCATAATTGAACAGCAAACTTCTTTGAAGGCATGAATGCTGTCAATTTGTCTAAAACGTGAAGTTTCACTTTTATCAAAAATTGGGGATCATGGATTGACCTCAGATTAGCAACTACTATGTGTTTGGATACTAAGCCCTCCTGTCCTACTCCTGCTATCACAACCTTCGTCAGAATCTTTTTTAATTCAAACGTTTGAACTGCACTCTCTGTAATAAAAGACGCTTGGGATCCCTGATCTAAAAGACATCTAAATGTAATACCAACTTCATTTTTTGACAAAACCTTTACAAAGGCTGTAGCCAAAAGAACATGTCTCTGTACATTTGAAAAACATGAGGAGGACTAGTTGACTCATTTGGTAGAACAGTTTCTGTTACCGTATTAACGACACCAGATTCTGCATTTCCGATTGTTACTTTACTTGGTTTCCGATTTGGATGTAATAATGAGTGGTGTTTTCGTTTACAAACATGGCAATTGGAGGTTTGCCGACAAAAATAAACCGAGTGGTTATTTCCCAGACAGTTGAAGCATAAATTGTTGTTTTGAACAAAGGTTTGTCGACTGTCATAATCCTGTGGAGCGAATTGTTTGCAATGTGCAATTTTATGAGATCCTTGGCAGTATTGGTAATTATTTAAAGAGATACTAGATGAGTTAGTTTTAAGGGCGTGTAGAACACTCTGTTTAGAAAATTCATCGAATTTGGGTAGATCATCGGACGCACTTATGGTAGATTCCCATAAATTACGTGTTTCATTGTCTAATTTTGCACTAACAATATAGATTACAATAACATCCCACGACTCTACAACTACGCCTATGTTTTTTAAACCGTTTAAGCACTCTACAGTAGTATCGAGCAGTTCCTTTATGGAGCGTGAAGATTCAGAAACATTAGGTTGACTCATAAATCTCTTTAATAAGCAATTTGCGAGATATTTTTTATTATCATATCGCTTATTTAATAAATTCCAGGACTCTAAATAATTAGCAGCTGTTACAGGAATATGTCTTAAAAGTTGTTCTGCCTCACCTATTAAATGCGCCTTAAGATAATGCATCTTTTGAATATTCTCAATTGATGCATTTTTATGTATAAGTGTTATAAATAAATCCCTAAACGTTGTCCACTCGGCATACTTTCCGCTGAAAGTCAGAATAGAAATTTTTGGAAGTTTAACATTTGTACATTCTAAACCCTTTTCAAATTTAGGTTTTTCAGTTATATGAACAGATTCTAACTTAGCAAGCTCATCTCTTAACACAGTTTTAGTTTCTATATATGCATTTTCTATTTCATCATAAATATTATTTTTAAAGTAATTACTATCAAACAATTCCTTTTCCCCACACTTTTCAATAAGACGAGCATGTGTTTCAAGAAACTGCGTCCATTGTGCATCTAAATTTTGTATACGAATTTCAATATATGTTGCATTAATTCTTTCTTTCGGAGACTTATTGTAATTAATTAAAGTTTTTTTTATTCTACTCTGAATGTCTATTTGAATTTTAATAAAAATTTCCATTTTAAATTATAAACGACTGAGACTTGAAGCAAAACTATTAAAGTTCAAGAGAACACAAATATAAATTCAAATTATTATACACTAGCGAACTACTAGGTATATAAAGAAATTATTCTGCTTACAAATTGAAATCTTAGGCCGTTCAAAACAAATTTACAAGTGAATTGGCATGTAGAACAAATCGTATATTTTACCTATCTTATAAGTTATTCTGTCCGAATTAATATATAGAAAATTTTACAAGTTCCAAACAACACATAGGATTTTTACAAGTGTTTGAGAAATAACACATTTAGGCAAAATCTGGCATAGGTTCCCCGTATAATCACTATTAATTGAACATTAAATTTTTAACAAGTTTAAATCTACTAAACTAACTAACAGGCAATACTTTATTACTGTCCAAACACTATTCTGCAACATAAACAATATAGAGTACTCACGGTTTTGCTTCACATCACTTATACACACCAAACCACCTTGTCACGTATTATCTCCAATTATGTATTGCTCCAACTTCACTCTTCAACCGGACCAATACTGCTGACTGACAGATGACATTTGCTGCTGTCACTGTCACCTTTTTCGTCGGTTGACTTAACCGCCCTCTCACGCAGCTTGGTTGGTACTACGCCAACTTGCCCTCGTCCAATGAAGTAGGATATACACTCCCACCTCACTGGGAAGCACTTCAGTGACGGTCCGCCACTGCTTTCTGTGCTTGATTCAAAAAAACTCCGGAAGGCGCAGTGATTCACAGTTGCCACTTTCTAAATATCCGGCTCGAAGGACCTTAATGTTCGTTTTCTCACGAACTTTACTCTTATTTCAAAGGTACGTAATTGAAACAACCAGTACGTTGGAGACACAGAATGAGTAAATGAGTTAATAAATCGCTGCACCTTATATTATTATAAATAATCTCAACATCGTGATTCAGTTATTTAATATTTTAGTACAACGACATCTAGTGACAACTTAAATAGCTAAACAGTCGGCCTATAGGCGACTAATTCGGCCTGGGCGTCTAAGTTGGCCTATCTGCGGCATTGCGGGTTATTACTCGACTCTCTAACTAAACTGACCATTTATTTTTTAACTCAAAACGGGACATGGGTTTATTTATACTCTAAAAACTATAACTTTATACAATTAGTGTTCACTATAAAATTATATTCGGTATAGACGGTAATTATTAAATGCAACATATTTTTTTTAATTATTAATTACATTTGTCAGTGGATTAAATTTGCTTTAATAAAGTTGGTGATGATTTTAAATAAGAATAAAATTCTGGGCAAGTTTTTTTTTATTGTTACCTTTGTTAACAACATCGCCTTTAGAACTGGAACCGTAAGTGTTTTTTTCAGACGTCCACAATTTATTCAAAATATTCGATTAAAAAAATTATGTTGAAGATTGTTGGCTTTGAATACTTCCATCCAACGAGTTACGGGACAATTTTGTGTCCCGGAGCTTTATTTGGGGACAATGGGACAGGTGACCGAGAAAAGGGACAGTTCCGTTCAAAACGGGACGTATGGTCACTTTACCTATAACCCGGCGACGGCTCCGTGGCGCAGTGGCTTAGCAATCAGTTGTTGCGCTGGGGGCCGCGGGTTCGAATCTCGCACGGAACAAGTATTTGTAAGGCCTACAAATAATTGTTCCGGGTCTGGATGTTTGTCCTTGTGCAATTTATGTTTGTAAACTGCCTCCACGACTCTCATTCTATATTACTCTTACTCTGCGAAACATCCTATTTATTTATTTATTCTTCTAAAATCTAAAATACATTTATCATTGTACGCTGTGTGTATTTCCATAAAACACACAGCGTACAACGATAAACGTATTTTAATTTTTTTATTCGGTATATTAGTTGCATTATATTAGAATTATGTATTTTCATATATTATCTAATTATGAAATTTTATAATGAATTATATATTAAAAATGAAGCATTGAAAATTGTGAGTTTAAAAGATACCTATTCACTATAGGTAAATAAATAGATAGCTCGCCTTTTGTACAAATATTTGGTGCAATACAGAATAAATAAATAAATAAATAGGATGTTTCGCAGATGTGTTTTTGATTATTGTTAATTTTTACGTGTCACGTATTGAAAAGTAATATACCTACCTACTAATTTTTGAACTGAGCACCTTGTAACTTAGCCTGCTTATTACTTATGCTGGCAGACATTATCCTCATCCCAATGATTGATGAGGATGAAAATCAATTTTATTTCTACATACGTAATTATATTTATTTATACATAAGGGTAACTTTAATATAGGTAATACAATAATCAACAAGAAGTATAAGGGTTCAATCTTTCAATTTCAATTGTAAAAAAACGTTACCCCCACAATAGGATTTTCTCCTGTGTCGTGGAGGCAGTTTACAAACATAAATTGCACAAGGACAAACATCCAGACCCGGGACAATTATTTATAGGCCATACAAATACTTGTTCCGTGCGGGATTCGAACCCGCGGCCGCGCGCAACAACTTGCTAAGCCACTGCGCCACGGAGCCGTCGCCGGGTTATAGTTAAAGTGACCATACGTCCCGTTTTGAACGGGACTGTCCCTTTTCTCGGTCACCTGTCCCATTGTCCCCAAACAAAGCTCCGGGACACAAAATTGTCCCGTAACTCGTTGGATGGAAGTATTCAAAGTCAACAATCTTCAACATAATTTTTTATAATCGAATATATTTTATGTCTACCTGGTACAAATGCTCCAGTAGAAAGAGTATTTTTTTATTTTGAATAAATTGTGGACTTCTGAAAGAAACACTTACGGTTGCAGTTCTAAAGGCGATGTTGTTAATAAAGGTAACAATAAAAAAACTTGAACAGAATTTTATTCTTATTTAAAATCATCACCAACTTTATTAAAGCAAATTTAATCCACTGACAAACGTTAATTACGTTTGTCAGTGGATTAAATTTGCTTTATATTATTTTAATTAAAAAAATATGTTGCATTTAATAATTACCGTCTATACCAAATATAATTTTATAGTGAACACTAATTGTATAAAGTTATAGTTTTTAGAGTATAAATAAACCCATGTCCTGTTTTGAGTATAAAAATAAATGGTCAGTTTAGTTTTTTTTAGTTAAATTTAGTTTTAAAAATTTTTAGTTTGTAGTAAAAAGTAGGTATATTAATACCTACTTAGATACTTTTTACCAAATTAGGGTGGAAACCCCTAATACCAGTCATGCCCCTAATTCCAGTTTTTTCGCCTTTTTACTCCATAAATAAGATTTCTAGTAGTCCTACAAATATTGTTATCTAAAAAATTCTTTGTACCTAGAGGAAAGTATATTTATTCAAATATTACCTCGCAGTTTTAAACATAACAGTGTTAAAATCAAAACAGGTACGCAACGAAAAACGATAATTTTTCTAATTATTTGACAAGTTATGATCCCGGTAAAATTATGCTTACTTTACATTATCTCATATTATATAGGCTTTTTGATTTGTATGAATATGACTATAGACATAGTAATGCAGTTATTTTTGTTTGAATTTAGAAGTTATTTATTTTCTTTTAGTGGAAATTAATGTGGCTGTAATTAGATATAAGAAATGTATGGAGTGCATAATGTCAGCCGCCCGGCTGTTATTTGGTTTGACGTACCTAATAAGAAGTACCTAATTTCAGCTACGTAATATAAATCAGGGCTGCCATAAACTGGAATAAATACCATTAATTAGATCATAACTTATTTTATACCTAAGGGAGTTATGATCAATTCGTCTGTTTTAAAATTGGTTTTAGATTTTAAAGTTTAGCAAAAGACGTACTAGCTTTTCTCTCTGACATTCGGCGTATAGAACACCTTATGTACTCAATTATTTTTTGTTAAAAAGAAGAAAAAAACAAGCAATAAATAATATACTATATTTTAGCAAAAAACTATAACTTAGTAATACTAATTATAACTTAGAACATAAATGAAAAACTCATAACTGACTTTTTGGCCCGACCCGGGATTCGAACCCGGGACCTCATAATCAGCAGTCGCACTACTACAACCACTAGACCAACGAGACAGTACTATACCTAATAAGATAATATTGTGGTTGGGTATTAGGATTATTTTTAACTGTATACTATACTGATAATATTGAATTAGCCTTTTATAGTGTAAATTATAATATTTGTCGAAATGTTAATTATGGATTCGAACCATACATGCTAATGGTGCTTCATTTTTTTATTTGCATTTACTTCAAAGAAAATACACGCAAAAAGCTTCATCGCGCAGTAAAAAACAACAAATATATGTATAACTAATACGAAAAATTATACCCAAAACAAACAAATAATACTACGTATAAATAACCTAATAAGTAATAATATTATCGACTGATAAGATGACGTGAGCGTGTGCGCTGGCCGACGCTCTAACGACACGGGTTTCACGTTGAAGAGCTCAGCGCTCACTGACTCCAGCAAGCCCGTGGGCAGTGAATACGCCCAGATTTTAAATTAATTTCTTAGTAAAATCAAATTTTGGTCTTTTGATAAAAAAATTATAATAGAAATGTTCATTAATAAATTTTTTTTACGAGGAGATGCATGTTATCAATAATAATTTCACATTTATGTGGTTTCGTTGTAAGGAGATTATATTAATATTTATTCCTTTAAAAAAAATTGGATATACCTCTTATGAAATCAAGATTATGTAGAAATATAATGTGTTTTTTTTTTGTTGATATATCTTTTAAATAAAAAGTAGATAGCTCCTAAAAACCGCACAAATAACGACTAGCGCGACATTTTGCTCAACCTACGCCTTAAAAGATCTAACCGTACAGACGGCGGGAAGAGACTTTGTTTTATTCTATGTAGAGAGGATAAATAAATAAAAGCATTTAAGTTATTCATTTCAACTTGAAACTATGCAATCTATTCGTCAGTGTTTTTATTTTTGGGTTTGAATAATTGAATAAGAAATATCGGATACTACCTACTCGATATGCGGCTGTATAACAGTTACGTTTTGGCAATCGTTGATTTAATTTAAATCGAATTCAAAATGGTCGTCTGCATTGAGGGATAATTTATTTATGGGTCGTTTGCAGAAAATTGTTTGAAAATTTGTTTTAACCGACTTCATAAAGGAGGACTCAATTCGACTGTTTTTTTTAATGTTTCGACAAATCAAAGGTGAGTGATGTACTCGCCATTGAAGTTAATACCGTATCCTTCATTACAATGATAGGGATATAACGTCACCCTGTCTTACACCTCTTTGCAGGGATAGATTTTGTACTGTACAAGCACTTCAGCACTTCGATATACCGACAGTCAACTTGGCACCGCTGAAGGGACTGTAGCACCGCCCAAATTTCGACGGAATCAAAGGCTTTCTCATAGTCCACATACGTAAGACAAAGTGGGATATTTAATTAAACTAGTAACAGTTTAACCTAGATTGTTACTTTTCTCCCGACTTCAAAAATTAGGAGGTACTGAATTCGACTGTATTTTTTATTTTATTTTAAGGAAAAGTTTTTGTTTTATTTGAAAGCACCAGCTTCTCATGTGGTCCCATATAAATTTGACCAAGGTTTCACGAGTAGTTTTGGAGTTATCCTTAATAATTTATATTGAAGTTGGTTGTACAAAATTTTTAAAATTTTACCACTTGCTCACTATGTTATTGGCGCTTTTAAAATATTATGATATGAAAAACTGACTTAATATTGTGGTGTTTCGTATGGAGACTGACGAGAACTTGAGATTCCATTTTAGTATAAGTAGCGGCACGAAAGTCTAGCGGTGACCGTTATTGCGCATAAGTCGTGCTGATTGTTCTCGCATCGTTTATGATATCGTATTATCCTCGCATCATATCATCTTCGCACGCGCTGATTGGCTCCCCAGTCGCATTCGTTCAATTCAATTCGTGCGTGTCCCCTCCACGTTTCGTTCAGCGTTAGACTTACGTGTCGCAACTTGTACTCACGGTTGACAAGACATTCATTTTAATTCTTATCGAAAATAGATGTCAATTCTATGGGCAGGCTGGTACTATTGTATATCTTTAAGTCATAAAAATGTTCTTATAATAGGCAAAACCCTTCAAAAAAAATGGATAGGGAATAATTCTGGAATAAAACTAAATGGTAGGACTCTTTTTCTTTTTATGAGACCGACTAGGTACCGTCTTACCTGTTTCTACCACCAAAAAGTGCCTTCACTTTTTTGTTTCCATTTGAGGCGTTCCTTCATACAGGCTGTGAGATATTCCTTCTTAGTCCTCAGAGTGAGCGCAACTGTAGCCTTTTTTGTTTGCAATTGGTTGCAGGTGTGGACCATGGACTGCAGTGGCCACTTAATAATAATGCACTCCATACCGAATTTCGGTCACGGCGGTCAGACACCGCTAACTTCCTGACTCCCATCAGGTGGTCTGCAAGTTGTTCGTTTGTCACTTCATCAATTTTATAATAAAAGTTGCCTTTCATATTACGTCGCCCTATAAATAGTACTACCCTCATGGGCCTAAGGTTGCACAAAATTTAAAAAATACCAGACCACAATTCCCCGAGGTATACTAAAACTCATCTCATCTCGAGGTATACTAGAACGGCATAATAGCGTCAATATATAGTTTCAGAAGATATAGTGTTTCGAAATCCGATATTAAATATCGATATATAGTTTCGATATGATATTCAGAAAAAGCGATATTACCCAATTCTACTTTCACCGTTGATTAAATACTTACACTTAGATCTTAGATGCTTTCCGTTACCAATACATTTCTTTTTTTTTTCACCAGAGTCAAAGTTACGTTCGTCTTAAACGACGGCAAGCGGCTTGAGACTGTGGCCAACGTTGGTGACACTCTTTTGGACGTAGTTGTGAACAATGACCTTAACATTGAGGGCTTCGGCGCCTGCGAAGGCACAGTCACATGCTCCACATGCCACGTCATACTGAAGCCGGAGGACTTCGAGAGGTGAGTTTTTGAAGATATACTTCTTATGTTGGCTCAGGATATGCTATATGGTACAAAATGGACGCGAATTTATTTTTATATTATCAGCTTCTACAAATTACCAAACCATATAGACTCCTAGGCGGAACGGAGCCCTACCACCAGAGAAGAGAAGGCTTACCACCAAAATATATCACATCATGTTATGCTCATGCAAGTGTCATGCAACCCCCATGTATTATACGGTGTAAATTTTCCACCACCCCGTTTCTTCCCGTGGGTGACGCAAGAGACGACTATGGCTAAGTCTTATTGCTTCTGATAGATAAGTAATAAGTATAACCATATCGTTTACACCACACGTAAATTATCCAGACTTTTTACACCAGACGTAAAATAATATCTATGTATATTTTGGCAACACTTCATACGCATAAAAATAATGAAAATTATCGATATGAGTTAGTATCGATAGAATAGAAATTTTTTTTCTAATATTGATTACAAGTGATTCTTATTGAAAGTCATTTTTTACTTTACCACTGTTTCGAAAAACATCCTCTGTCCTGGGAAGAACCAGCAAGAAACCCATCGGGACTTTTTTTTAGAAATAAATTTTACTTATGATTCTGATTGCCCCAAGCATGAATTACTGACTCTGTGGAGTTGCACACACATATAAACAAGACGATAACAATACTATTCATTTGAGTAGGTATTTACGTTTATTTTACGTTGGTATTCTGTGAGAGCGTGGTCTTTCCACTGTCTAGCTGACAAATTCGTACTACAACTATAATACTAATATAGCTGCAGCATGGCTCTACCACGTATAAATATCTATATCCAGCGTTGAAATATTAAATTACTTCATTAGATACATTACCGTGTAGTGGCGGTGTAAAAATATCCACTACCTCATATTGTCCCGTGGGTGTCGTAAGAGGCAACAGAGGGAAAATGAAACAGGAGATGGGCAGCAGCATCTTCCTGATAGCAACTCTAAATAATAAATCTGCCCCCCCCCCCCCCCACCTCCATCTATGAAGGAGAACCTATGTTCAGCAGTGGACTTTATAGACAGTAGTGGATGGATGGATAAGATACGTTACTAGGTCGTAGGAATGATTTTCTGCCTAAAAGACTGCCTGGGTAGGTACCACCATGTCACCTATTTCTGCCGCCAAACAGCAGTGCTGGCACTCGTGTGTTTCAGGTCTTAATGGTCTGGGATCGAGTATAAAGTACAGTCTGTGAGGCATTCCATTTTATTCCTTTCTTTATAGAATAAGAAAGACAGACGAGCACACCGTCCACCTGATGGTAAATAGATGATGTGGCTCAAAGACATCTAAATCAATTCTAGATTAAGAATAAAAATCCAGATGCTTTGTAATACCTGAAGACTAAGATGAAATGCCTCGTTCCCCGGTAAAAAGGTTCTCCAGTTCTCTTACCCTCACCATAGCATTAAGCTGCTATTTTACGCTGGTATTTTGTAAGAGTGTGGTCCTTCCCCGGTCCAGCCGACGCATTGTGCTATAACCATAATATACGGCACCATAATAGGTTCAGCATGGCTCTGCCACGTATAAAAGTCAAAGGCAAAAGTACGTAGTACGTATAAAAGTCCTCAGATTGACAACGCATCTGTCGCTTGTTTTGTTTGAAGTTGGCTGCAGGCATCCATGGAGAGCAGTAACCACTTACCATCAAGTATACAATTTTTTTTCTAACTACGGTTTTAAGAAAAAAATTGGGAAACAACAGGATATAACAAGATGAACGCAACGCACATTAAGTAAGTTGAACGTTTTTTTTGTTCTATTTCAGACTTCCCGAGGAAGCCAGTGACGAAGAACGAGATATGCTAGAATTGGCTTACAGTCTTACAGAGACCTCCCGTCTCGGATGTCAGATCACCCTCACGAAAGAACTGGACGATCTTGAGGTAAAGGTACCGGAGGCAATCAACGACGCATGTAGCTGATGCAGCATACCATACAACATACATTTAGTTATTTGTATATTTGAAAAAAAAAATGTTTATAGATTTGAGGGTAGTTTATCATAGTAAAGTTCTTTTGTACATGGCTGTTAGTAAAATTTTATGTTAAGCGTTGTGGAGAAAAAGTGTTTTTTATTCAAATCAAGTCTAGACTTAGCCCAAATACTACGCTCGCACGATGAGCATAGGACTAAAACTGGCAATTTAGCTTCGCAATGCGCTCTTCAAGCAGATATTAAGTACGTATTGTAATGTGTGGAAAACAATTAAATTATATATGCATTTGACGAATTATTTTTATTACAATAATTGGTATTAACTTTATGCTGCCTTACGCATTTTGTTATAACCTGAAAAAAAAATTTAAATTGACGTTGAAAAAGAAGTTGCCAGTAAAACAAATTCATTCTTATCGTGCACGCGTAGCACAACAGTATACTTAATTCATCTTGTCAGGTAATATAAGTTTCTTTTACTAAACTTATTTTCACTTGCATGTAAAAAAAAAGTTAATGTTAAATTACTATATTATATAAAATTAATGTTAAATTACTATATTATTTAACTATTACTTTCATATTTTACAAATAAATATATTATGATGTTATAAATATACTATTCTATTTTTGTCTCTTTATTGATAAAAAGTCTATCGAGAGAATATTTTTCATTAACCTTTCTGTTCGAAGATCTGATCTACAGCTTTTCATTCCCCAGACTTCAAAAAAAACTTAGTTAATTTTAAATATTACTGACCACATATTTTTTCTTTCTTAAGTAATGGACTCGTACGGTTGTACAATGTCAAGAATTATGATGATATCTTTTAAAATAATTTGTTCAAATAACTCTTAATATGTGATTACGCACCACACGAAGTTTTTGGGAGATTATGACGGCAACTGGAGCCAGCAGACAGTCGGTGACAATAATATTTCAATGTGCATAAGCAGACACAATAACTCGAGGTTCACATCATCATCAAATCGCTTGATTCAACGTTCCCACTAATAGTTCACATGCGCAGACATTTAATATGTATACAAAATCGCAACACTTTTACGTATCAAAACATACTCTTGAAACCATTAATTAAGCAATCATACAGGTGCAACAATCCGCCGTCGGTTAAGTTCCCGCCAAAACTCCAGACAAGGGTTTATTTTTGATTTGTTTTAATTTTTAGCATCAGCAAACACCTATGTAGAGTTACGCACACACTTTGAGCTGCCTTCATCATAAATATTAATCATTTGCAAATCTTTTGTCCTAACTGAATACTGTCCTTAAGGCGCAGGTTGAGCAAAATGTCGCGCTAGTCGTTATTTGTGCGGTTTTTAGGAGCTATCTATTTTTTATTTAAAAGATATATCAACAAATAAAAAACACATTATATTTCTACATAATCTTGATTTCATAAGAGCTATATCCAATTTTTTTTTAAAGGAATAAATATTTATATAATCTCCTTACAACGAAACCACATAAATGTGAAATTATTATTGATAACATGCATCTCCTCGTAAAGTAAGTATTATTTTATTTTGCGATTTACACCAATGGATAGGCAATTTATTAATGAACATTTCTATTATAATTTTTTTTTCAAAAGACCAAAATTTGATTTTATTAAGAAATTATTTTAAAATCTGGGCGTATTCACTGCCCACGGGCTTGCTTGACGTGAAGCCCGTGTCGTTAGAGCGTCGGCCAGCGCATACGCTCACGTCATATCTGTCGATAATATTATTACTTATTAGGTTATTTATAGGTAGTATTATTTAATGACTTCTTATATTTACGCGAACACTACACATTGAATAAAACTATTTTTACGGATTCTATCGCGTTTAATTAAGTTATTTTATATTCCCGACGTTTCGGTTGCTTTCCAGCAACCGTGGTCACTGTAGTATTATTTGTTTGTTTTGGGTATAATTTTTCGTATTAGTTATACAGTGGTAGAGCTAAGCGGTAGCTTTTGCTGTCGCACGGATGGGCCAGCTCGAACCAGGGTGGTACCACGACCTCACAGAATACCAGCGTGAAGTAGAGGTTTACCTCTGCGTTGCGCTTGGTGAGTGCAGTGGCCGGAGGCCGGAGGCCCAATCCCCCCCCCCCCCATCAACATGGTAGTGGAATTAAATAAAAGACTACCCGAGGAGGGTACAAGCACCCCTGGAGAATCCCTTGCTGAGCATCCACGAACAAACTACTTCACTCCTGAGCGTGGGTGCTCAGGCTGCCCCGCGTATTCTGGGGGGGGGGGGGGGGGGGGGGCAAAATTCCGCTCGCGACTAACCCAAGTCCATTACCATCTAGAGACGGCGAAGCCGGCCTTGCTCTTTTTAACCGAGACTCAGTTGTCCTCTCCGGCTGATACTTCATATCTCTCCTACCCGGGGTACAAATTGGAACACTCCTTTGTGCCCCGGGCTGGAGTTTGCGTATACGTCAGAGAGGACATCTGTTTTCGACGCCTCGGCAGTCTTGAAGATACGGACCTGTCCATCCTATGGCTGCGCATAGACAGCGACGACCATCCCCGCGTCTACGGGTGCCTCTATAGGTCCCATAGCGGTAATGCCGACACAGACCGACTCATCGACCACGTCCAAATGGCTGCAGACTCCGTGCTACAACAGGTCCCATCCGCAGAGATCGTGATACTCGGTGATTTTAACGCCCACCACGCTGAATGGCTTGGTTCTCGTTTAACCGATCATGCGGGTAGATCTGTCTATGACTTTGCTTTGGCATATGGTCTAACACAACTGGTTACTTCGCCTACGCGGATCCCAGATGTGGAAGACCATGTACCTTCCCTGTTGGACCTTCTACTGACCTCTCATCCGGACGGATATCAGGTCTCCGTCGATGCCCCTCCGGGCTCTTCGGACCATTGTCTGATCCGGAGTACGGTGCCTTTCACGCTCCAATCTCAGTTGCGATCTGCAGCTTGCCGCCGTGTTTGGCACTATAGGTCAGCTGATTGGGACGGGATGCGGTCTTTTTTGCATCCTACCCTTGGGGGCGGGTTTGCTTCTCGCCGGAAGATCCCAGCGTTGTTGCCGATTCTGTTGCTGATGTGGTACTTCAGGGTATGGAACTTTTTATTCCATCCTCTGTAGTGCAAATCGGTGGCAGATCCCAGCCATGGTTTGGTCGCTCCTGTAAAATAGCATCACGCTATAAGCAGGAGTGCTACCGGGCCTGGGCTGACGCATCAACGTCTCGGGATGTAAACACCAGCGCACTTAGAAAGAAGTATAACTCCGTCTCCAGGTCCTTCAAAAGCGTCATTGCCAAGGCAAGGTCTGAGCACATCGGCAGAATTGGCGAGAAGCTAGTTCGCCTTCCTTTGGGAACCCGTGCATTCAGGTCTCTCGCCAAGGCTGTCCAAGGGAACTTCTGTCAGCCATCTCTTCCATCTCTGCACAGAGAGGACGACTCACTCGCCCATGCCGCAAAGGAGAAAGCCGATCTGTTGTGCTCTCTTTTTGCGTCTAACTCGACTCTAGATGACGGGGGGAACACACCGCCGACCATCCCGCGATGTGAGTGCTCCATGCCGGATGTGCGGTTTACACAGCGCTCGGTTCGCAAAGCACTCTTCTCCCTGGACGTCAGCAAGTCGAGTGGGCCCGATGGAGTCCCTCCCATTGTACTGAAGACGTGTGCTCCGGAGTTGGCACCGGTTTTAACGCGTCTTTTCCGGTACTCCTACTCCCAAGGCGTAGTCCCGAATTCATGGAAGACAGCTTTAGTCCACCCGATCCCTAAAAAAGGCGACCGCTCAGACCCGTCCAACTATAGGCCTATAGCCATCACCTCCTTATTCTCCAAAATAATGGAATCCATTATAAATTGCCAGCTCATGAGGTACCTTGAGGATCACCAGCTGATTAGTGACCGCCAGTACGGTTTTCGTCGAGGTCGATCAGCTGGTGATCTTCTAGTCTATCTGACTCATAGATGGGCGGAGGTAGTAGAGTCCAAGGGGGTGGCATTGGCCGTTAGTTTGGACATAGCGAAGGCCTTCGATCGGGTCTGGCACAAAGCGCTTCTTTCGAAGCTTCCTTCCTATGGGCTTCCCGAGAAATTGTGCAAATGGATCACCAGTTTCCTTGCTGATCGGAGCATCAAGGTCGTAGTAGACGGTGCATGCTCTGATTTCAAGCCTATCAACGCTGGTGTTCCACAAGGCTGCGTGCTATCACCAACGCTGTTTCTCCTGCATATCAATGATATGTTGCTAACTGGTAGCATTCATTGCTATGCAGACGACAGCACTGGTGATGCCTTATATACCGGTTGTGCCAATATTTCTCGGGAAAACGTCGCTGAGTACCGGGACAAACTTGTGTCTGAAGTCGAGTCTTTGCTTAACAAAGTCTCGGATTGGGGCCGACTGAATCTAGTCCAGTTCAATCCCCAGAAGACACAAGTTTGCGCGTTTACCGCTAAAAAGAACCCCTTTGTCGTATCTCCTCAGTTTCAAGGCATTTCCCTTGCTGCCTCAGCTAGTATCGGAATCCTTGGCGTCGACATATCGACTAGTGTGCAGTTTCGTGGTCACTTGGAAGGGAAGGCCAAATTGGCCTCTAAAAAGCTTGGCGTGCTCAGCAAAGCGAGACAGGATTTCATGCCGGCACATCGCTTGCAACTTTACAAAGCGCAAGTTCGGCCCCACATGGAATACTGTTCTCATCTCTGGGCCGGGGCACCCCAGTGCCAGCTCCTTCCACTTGACCGCATCCAGCGCAGAGCGGTTCGAATCGTCGACGACCGAGTTCTTTCTGATCGGCTCGATACACTGCCACTGCGTAGAGATGTTGCATCTCTTTGCGTATTTTATCGCGTCTATCACGGGGAGTGCTCTGAGTGCTTGTTCGGACTAATTCCAGCCGCTCAATTTCACCATCGCACATCGCGACAAAACTCGCGTTACCATCCATACCATCTGGATGATTGGCGGTCCA